CCACTTCTTAGCTGAGCTGATGCTGTGGTGACAAACCATTGATAGGTGAGATTTGCTGGCGAGTTAGCAGGAGTTCTGGTGCCAAACATCTCTACTCCGCCATGTTCAGATTATGCCCCACTGTAAACTATTTTTATCAGATTTATAGATACTGACATTACTCTTTGAGCATCCACATCTTATGACTACAAATGTGATACAATTGTATTTTGTAGAGTTTTTTTTTTTTTGACCGGAGACACACTTACAAGTCATACTTTTTTCAGCTCATGGGAAGGGACTGCACATTGATTTATTTATACACATAAACACTGATTGAAATGACGACAATATCAGTTACTTACGTGAGTGTTTACCGCAATTATTTTCAAGTGCTACCCTGATATATGTTTCAAAACAAAAGAGATAGCAATAAATGCACAGGTGCATAACATAGGAACAAATATGGCATTGTTCGCATATCTGAATATACTGTATATACTGGATACACTTCTGGGAGAACAATACAAATACATCTACGTAATAGACTCATTTTGTCTTTTTTTCCTATGTGGCGCAGTAACAATTGCAATAGCATATGTTGGATAGCAGTACCAGAAACATCTTTTGTACTCATATGAATGTATGAACAGTTGCCGTTTAAAGATAAAGTGCCTAGTCTAGATGGATAATATATACTGTATCTTTGCCTAAATACGATGTGGTAACATTTGCAGTAGTATATGTTTGAAAGCAGTTACACAAACATCCTTTTTATTCAGGTCGATGTAGAGATTTCTTTTTTGAAAAAGACAACATAAAATTTACCTTTTTTTTGGAATTCTTGGATATTTGGCATGCAAAATGCAGATTATAAGCTAAAAGATTTACAGTATATGGACAATTATAAGAAAGACAATTATAAAGAAAGTCTTTAATACATCCTTAACTAAGCAGTAATGGTCCATACCATGTCTATATTTTTAAAGTGTATTTTATTTTAAAAAAAAATTATAGTCCCAATAAACATTTTGTATCTATAGGAATTTTGGTTCCGTAGTATTCATATGAAAAGCTATTGATAGTAATAGACCCTTCAATAAAGGGGTTGTTTTGTTTTCGAGTGTTAAAAAATGAGGTTGTGACCTCATTTTGTTCCAAATTAATGGAAGACATGTTTAGAACAGCATGCTAATATGATTTATTGCAGGTGAGGTATAAAAGCTTAAAGAAATCAGTACGGATGCTGTAATGTTTCTTCCTCTCCTCCCCCAGAGGGTGAAGTTGTTAAATTTACAAAGTTAATTTCTCAGCAGTAAATGCATCCTGCTGTAAAGAGAAGGCAAATCCTGCTGATCTGATTAATGGAAAACAAGCTAATTTCTATCTTTATAAGCAGCAATAGTGTTTACAATATTGTAACCGGCCAGTGTGGAAGCACAAACATTGCCAGCTGTACATGGCTGTGCCTTACTCTGCTTTGGATATAAGGAGAGTGGATTTTCCTTTTACTTTTGTGTGAAATATCTGTGATCTTTGCATCTACATCCCTTTGCATGCACTGATGTTATTAGCACAGCCTGTGCGAACTTCTACTACCTATGGTTTGCCCTATGTTCCCCCCACCCCGGTGCCTTGAAAGTTTCTGGGGGAGCCCCATGCCGCATTCTGACATTTGAAATCTCTGTTTATTCAATTTACTCTCAGCCAGTGATACATAGTTTTCATCCCCCAACTCCTGAGAAAACAATAGTGCAAAACATGTCGAGTGAGGCTCTATTCACCAAGCAACCAGTAGCACGCTACACTTGAGAGGAAGAGAGGTACAGCCACAGACATCATAGGACACTGGAGAGAGCCATGGATGTTGGTGAAGCCCGCTGCCTGATCAAGGAAAAAGGATGATGCAGACACAGACTGGCTGTGTTTTACCCAGTATACAAAGGGGAGACCATCTGCTAACACAAGAAGATTGTGAGATGCCACTGGCCAAACTCACATTACACTTTGACAAAAGAGGAACAGCGTTGCCTGCAAGTATCACACAGCCAGTGGCATCCTATGTGCTTAAAGGGACCAGAGGCAGTGTCATCTTCAGTGCCTAAAGGGCCATAATCCCGAGTGCTCCAGCATAAAAGCTGGTTCCCAAGGAGCTGGCCAGTAGAACAGTGTATATTAGAGACTGCTGAACTGTTAGAGTGGTGTAATTCTCCTTAGTTAGGATTGCCCCCATATAGGCTTTAGAAGAATTTGCTCTCTACACTCATTGCTTGTTTTTATAGCATATTTCTTTCTACTGTTCATACTACAGTTTTTGCAATATATTACTTGCTATAGTTTAACTGTTTGATGTATCATTGCTGTTGCTTGATATATCTTTTGCTACTGGGATACTGCATGTACAGCCCCACCCAGCCAGGTGGCTCAGAGTGTGTGGTGTTATTTGCAGAGTCTTGGGCAGAGAAGAAGGGGGCTTAATACATCCAGTAGCTACTTCTGGGGTTAGAGCTACATACAGGTATATCTTTTATTTTTAAGGAATTGGCCCCACATCTATTCTACAAACTACACATTGTTCATAATTTGCCTTATGCTCCAAGAATCTCGAGAGGAACTGTCCCTCCAATCATTTTAAACATGAAACTAAACAACTTTAGCTTCCTAGCTTGTGCTGGCAATACTATTCATTAAGTCTCAAACCTTGGCCTTTGGGCCCTTGATTAGTCTCTCAGATCAACTTACACAGCACATCTGTGTTCATATGCCTCTCTCTCAGCTCTCTGGGGTCTCTCGATCCTTTCAGACCACTAGGCTCTCTCAGTTGTCTCAACCTTCTCAGTCCCCTAGACAAGGAACCTTCTTGTAGTACTGTCTCCTGAGTGAAAGGGACTTATTTCCTGAAAGGAGCCCTGAACTATGGTCAAGCCTGTGATTATAATGGCTGTGCACACTTATACATACACCCTTCTGGTCTCTGGCAAGACTTGGATACTGGGTTGGATGATTCTTCTCTCCCAAAGGTCTTTAAAACCTCAAAACTCCGAAATCTAATATGGGAATTACAAAACATGCCGAAAACTGAAACTCAATTTTTTCCACTCATGTATTCCAGAGCACCAAACTTGTGAGAACCCTGTGTAACTTTTGCCTATTCATTTACATAGTAGCAAGGACCTCGCACTGTCACAAAAAATGTTTAATCCGATTCATTACAATTGAAAATAAAAATATGCACACAACAGAAGTTGTTGCCCATAGTGGCTAAATAGGTTTCACCATTCATTTTACGGGCAAGTTAAACAAGCCTTTTTAATTGGTCAGCGAGGACAAGAACTCAAAATACTCTCATTTCTTCACTTCAGATTGCATAAGTAAGACTCTCTGTATTTCAACCCCCAGGAATACCAGCTTGGTAAGGATCCATCCTGGTCTAGTTTTCTTTTTCATACTCATAACATTTCAAACTATATAGCATAAAGCCACTCAAAGAATAAATGATAAGATTTAATTTCTAATATTTACATGCCCCAAATATTTGTTGAAATTCAAAAAGGGGATTCCGTGATCTTGCCTTCTGTCAATAAAATCATTCCATATCATATATTCTGTCTTAGATGTACTGTAAATTTTCTTGAAAAAAGAAGAAAGTGCTGCACTTCTGGTCTATAACCAGCACCATTATGAAAGAGGCAAACATAGTACCGATCAAGGGGGGTACAGTGTCAACAGCTGTATCACATTCCTACATTGGAAATAATTGTAAGTTATAAAGCACCACATTCATTTATCTAGTGGCATGGTCCTTTAAATGGATGCTGTATTCAGGTAACACTTTTCTGGCTGCTCACATACTGTACATAAAATGCTCTACATAAGTGAACCAGGAAGGGAGGGGGGATGTGCAGATACACAGTATGGCTGTCCAGAAATGTCAGAGGTTGAAGAAAATTGCATCTCTGTCACTAACAAAATGACATAATGAACTGGTATGCAAGGGAAATAACAGTAAATGCTAACTGTAAATATGTTCTTTATGTGAACAGCCTGAAAATGTCTTTTTAAGATTTAGTCCTGTGACTGCAACACCAGTCAGGACCTGCTTTTTTGATTAAATATATTTCTAATAAATGTTTCAACATTTAAAAAGAATGTAAAACATACATTTTTTTAAATAGCAAACATGTTATACTTACCTGCTTTGAGCAATGGTATTGCACAGAGCAGCCCTGAACCTCCTTTTCTGGGGTCCCCGGCCAGCAGTCTAGGCTCCTCTTCATCTCCATGTGCCACCATAGGTAGGAAGCTGCTTCCTATGGGGGCATGTTGGCTGGCTTAGGGCGCCCTAGTGGGGACACTATGGAACTGCACCCGCTAGTGTCTAAACCAAGAATGGGCAAACTACGGCCCGGCGGACCTTTTAATCCGGCCTGCGGAGCGTGATACAAAAAAAAAAACAGCCAGGGCAGGCAAACATTTGCATCATTCAGCACGCTCAAATGCAATGATTAGCCAGTCTCGCTGCCACTCACATCCTGATAGCCAGTGATTGGCTGTCAGGATGTGTGTAGGCGGGGCAGCGTGACGAACGTGAGGGGAGCTAGGCTCCTCTCACAGTCCGCCCTGAAGACCGGAATGGTGCGGGAACACGGCGAGAGGAACGCGCGGAGCAAAGGTAAGTAAATTGACACAGGGGGGACTTGTCTTACTACTTGGGGGGGAATAGTACTATGGGGGATGAAATGTTACAAATTTTAATTTAATTTATATTAATTCACACATACACATCATTCATCTACTCTTGGTCCGGCCCCCGGGTCCAATATATGAACCCATTGCGGCCCTCAAGTCAAAAAGTTTTCCCACCCCTGGTCTAAACCATAGGCAGGAAGGTGCGGTCCATATTAAGGCAGGTCTCCCAACACAGAAGTGAGCAGCAACTTGCAAAGTTACCTCTTTTGTAACACATGGCCAACCTCCTGACACTGTTAATACTAAGCACTCTGGACACAGCTACTGTTAGAGAACACCACTTCCCCAGGTGTGCAGCATTTCTGAGCTGGTACCACGAACAGGGGTGGACTGATCATTTGGAAACTCGGGCAGTGCCCGGGGTCAGTAGGGGGCCCCATGAGATGCCCCTGGTACCTTTTTCATAGGCTTTTTTGAGTTTGGGCAAGGACACAGGGGCCCCATGATCCCCTATTGCCCGGGGGCCTCATGAGTTGTCAGTCCGCCCCTGAATACGAAGCATGTAGCAGGTTCCACCACCTCAGCAATCTTGGCACTTCTCTCCCAGTGACATATCCAGCTGTTGTTACTGAATACAGGAAACACACATTATCAGAACTGTACTACTTTATGCTTGTTCTCCTTCCCAGGGCACTACAAACCTTTCACATTCATGACTCCCTGCTGGATCCCTTCAAGGGCGGTCCCAGTATGTGGGGAGGTCCCCTGATTGATAATTAAGGGGCCTGGCATAACATCCCTTTACTACCAGAGTGTCCGTCACCCTTGCCTATCCCCCATTCCCTGGTTGCAAATTACACAAATATGGCATTCCGTAGTAACGGCAATATAGCCTACACTAGACATCATCCTAAAAGCTGGACTTTCTGTACTGTGTCTCTTCTAACCTTCTAGTCCCCTGATGTAATCCCTGTTCTTTGATACACCATGCATGCCCCCCTTTAGAAAAACTTCAGACCAGGCAGATTAAAGGAACAACAAAGGATCTTTACTGAAGTAGTTAAGGATAGCACAGGAAAAGTTCTCAAATGACATCTTCACACACATTCCAGTACAGAGTTCTCTCAGTCCCCCATAAAGAGACTGTACGTTAGGCAGATGCCAAGTTCATAAAAACAATCATTTCAAGGCAAGAGTCCATTTAGGCAGTAAAACTGGTGCATTTAGAAGCTGATTGGCTTCAATACAGAGCTGTACCAGATTCTAACTTCAGCTTGTTCAGTTAAGCTTTGCCAATACATGGAAACTGATTGGTTTCTATGCAGAGCTGCACCAGATTTGCACTCTACAGTTTTAGTTCTGTAAGTAATCCCTTTAGAATCCATGATTTGGTGATAATCCATAAAAGGCAGTAAGTCTATGTTTGGCAGCTATAGGTCCATGTAAATCCCCATACCAGACCCCACAGAGAACACCGACTGGTCCTTCCAAATGGGTGCTAAGCCCCACAGAGTAGCAGCTACAACCTGAAGGACAGAACTCTCCAGATGACCCCTGGGCAATAAATGAGCCCCTTTCATTTGGTATGACCTGTAGGGGGTGGTAACCTCCTGAGAAAGAGCAGGAAACCTGACCAGCAGAGTGAACCCCTACCTTCACAGATCCACCAACCTAGCAAAAGGCACATTGTAACAGGGAATGCATAACAGGAAAAAAAAAACTTTTATCTGTAGAACCGCTTTAAAAACACAAAGATACAAACAGTACCAAATCTTAGAAAAATACAACATGTGATACAATACAAAAAGGAAAGGAATACAATAAATGGGTAACAGGAATGGACAAAAATAATAAAAAAAAAAAGATAGGGGAGAAAAGATAGTGAGGGGAAAGGCGATTACCATAAATGCTTCTGACAAAGGTTTCATCCTTATACAATACAGAATACATTAATAATTCATTACTTTAAAACACATGCATTTTCTTTCATCTGAGAATATTGAATTATATATTTATGATCAATCCTTATAGTTAAATTTTAATAAACCATATCAAGCCCCAACAGCTTTTAATCATAACCTAATTCATGAGCTGCTTTTTATCCTAATAACCTCTCTTTACCCACCTAAAATACAGAAAAATAACAAGGACATTGCATGTGTGATTGGGCTCTGAATGCATTTAAACTTCTGCTTGTGGTTTATTGTGATTTTGCTTCAGAATCCTACTTTTTACATAATCTACTTTCTTGCTTGCTGAAGACCTAGTCATTTTACGTGAATCCAAACATACACTACCTGCCTGAGCATCAGCCAGCCCATTATTTAAACCACCCAGACCCAAGTTACTTATCACTTCAAAGTCAAAATGCAAAATCTCCTGCACTAGGGAGTGGACTCAAAGGTCACAATGGATTATGGCTTCCTCCTGACTTTCATAGATGACACTCGCCTTGCTGCCCTCAAAGGACTGGGGATGTCCAAAAACACTATAACCGAAAAAGACTGGCTCTGAAGAAGAGCAAGTCCTCGAAATGCGCTAGCCTGTTGAATGTCCATTTACCCTGTGATGTTCTGGGATGTTCTGTGGATTTGATGGTGCTGTTGTTAATGATGAGCCTTGGTCTCACTCATCTTTTGTGAGTATATTACTTACCACTTTTATACAATAAAATTGTTTTTTAAGGTTAATGTAATAGACCAGTGTACCCTCTTTTTTGCTTTTTTTCGGTTACTTATCACTTAACCTGACTTGTAGCTTAGCTCCATCTCAGTCTTTGTTGAAGGCCAAGGGGTTTATTTACTAAAGCTGGAGAGTGCAAAATCAGGCTCACTTCTGCATAGAAACTAATCAGCTTCTAACCTCAGCTCAGGGGCGGACTGACAACTCATGGGGCCCCCGGGACCCCTGTGTCCTTGCCCAAACTCAAAAAAGCCTATGAAAAAGGTACCAGGGGCATCTCATGGGGCCCCCTACTGACCCCGGGCCCTCAAGCAGTGCCCGTGTTTCCAAATGGACAGTCCTCCCCTGCCTCAGCTTGTTCAATTAAAGAATAAGTTCACCTTTGGGAACATGCTACATGTTCCACCCGTCTTTAGGGTGGAACATGTAATATGTTCCCATAGCCCACCGCCCCCCCCCCCCCGACAGATAGTACAGGAAAACTTCTCCCCATAATACCTGTCAGATTTGAAAACAGAGTTCTGTGAATGAGTGCCTACAAGTCCCAGCAGCCTTAGCAGCTGTCTGCTTGTAGTTTTCAATGAACTGTTCATTCAAGCTTTCTGTCAGTATATCTGCTTGCTCATACATCCCGTACAGCAAGCAGATATTTTGACAGGTCTCCAAGAGACCTGCATGGCATCAGAGATTTACTGATTGCTGGTGCAAAGCTTTCCAGGCTCCTGCAAACAAAAATAATAAATGCACATTTTTTTACCTGCAAAAAAATGTGCATGTGTTATGTTTGTCAAAAAGGTGAACTGATCCTTAACCCCTTCCCACTGGCGCCTCCCAGCCCTTTAAGAGTTTCAGACGCCGGGAGGCGGGGTGGGTGGGGCGTGGTTTAGGGATCATGTGACCGCCGTGACGCGTCGTCACGGCGGTCACATGATCAGGAAAGGTCCCGATCAAAAGAGCGGACCAGGACCTTTCCGTGAGTACTGCACATGTTCGCTGGGAGTGCGCAGGGCGCGCGCTCTCAACACATATGTTTTTTGTTACATAAACGCAAATGTGCTTCCGCTTGGCGTCTAGGCCCAGACGCCGGGAGGCCGCACATTTGTGTGCGGCCAGCGTGAAGGGGTTAAAGCTTTGGCAATAAAACATGGAAGCGGATTATTTCTATGCAGAAGTGAGTCTGATTTTGCACTCTTCAGCCTTAGTTAAAAAAAAAAGTATCAAGGCAAATCTATGCCTTGATACTTGGGGTTTTTTTTAACTAAAGCTATTAGTATAGTATAGTACAAACACCAATGCACTTTGTGCCCTGATGGGGAGACATACAGTATAATAGCACTATATTCAGACTATCCATTTGCAATTGTACTTGGCCGTCACCAGAAGTGATACCTGTACATGAATTATGTGTTCTGTGTTACTGTGTCATTTGGACCAACCTCAGTGGCATTTTAGAAACTAATGTGACACTGGAAATATGCCCACAGCTACCACTGTGCTGTACTAATATGTATGCAGAGGTATGGCATGCAAGGGAGTCAGGATTTGCACATGTTTCTGCATAGGCATAAGAGGGCTGCTATGTTTCATGCGAAGCAAGAGTGGTATATCTCTGACTTCCATGAAGTTTAAAACCGTAAGGACTCATGTACACGAGCAGCTGCTAAACTTGAGTTTTGTACACAGAGGCTTTTAGCAGAGTTTAGCAGCTGCCGTAGTTAGGTGACGTTAAACCTCCCTCTCTTCTATGCAGAAGAGTCGCATTCAGGATAGGAATGTTTTGACTGCCGATTGCGGGAAAACGCGGCAACCGCTGTACCGCAAATTTGCCGTGATTTGTATTTTCCTGCGGCCAGCTGTCAGGGTAGTCTCATGTACATGAAGCCTAAAGGATTAGCTCATCAGTAGAATATGTGTAACTATGTGGATGAGTTCAAAACACATCAAACAGGCACAGCAGACAGCAGTTCACTGTGAAACACACGTGCAATTTATTTTCAAAGACTAAATACACTCTATACAAACGATTACGTACAGAACAAAAACAGAACTAAAGCAGCACAATAAAAAAGAGGAAAATAAGTCCTTGACACACACAGGGTCCCTGGATAAAGGACCTAGAGCAACCTACTGTCTGCTGCACACACTGTGTCTCACCAAACATGAGCTGTCTCATCACACAGGTAATTTAGTGTTCTTCAGTTTGATGTACACAGAAACTGGTTGTAGGGTGGAGAAAAATCCCTGAGTATGATAAGAGTTTTAGGGCCAGTTCACAATAGATGCAGTTCAGTGCGCTTTATTTTCTGCATCAAAAATGCATGCACAGTGTTTTCCATGTATTCCAATGGCCCTAGTACACACTAGTGCAGTCAGTTCCAGTCAATTTCCGGAGAAGAAACAAAAGTAGACCATGCTGCATTTTTTCTGCACAGAACCATACTGGAACATGGCAAACTGCATCAAAACTGCACTGGAACTGCGTGTGGTGTGAACTGTAAGCACAAACATATCTGGAATGCATTTTTGTAGTGTGAACAGGCCCTCATGCCTCATTTGCACTTGCAGTGTCCAGAGGATATTTCTACACATATAATGATTATTCATCGGTGCCGTTCACATTTTGCTTTTACTTGTATTTTGGTATGGGCAGTTTAGGTACTGTCATAGTTTAGGTTGCAGTGTCCTGCCTGTAACATTCTTGTGCTATTATTCACATGTGCTGCTCACTTGTGTTCCTATGGGTGCCACCTGCTTTACTTTGGATTTATATGCCTTTCCCTTCTATCATTCCCAGCCCAGCTCCCAGTCTGCTTCCCTATACAAGACATGGTTAGAGCAGCCCATACTGTCTGAGCAACTTCCCATTTTCTCTGAGCTCCTGGTTTGCCATTCACTGTTTCTATTCTATGTCTGACTTCCCATGTACTGACCCGAAC